GCTTGAGACTTACTGATATAAAAATTATAATTAAACTTTATTTGGAGTACTACTTGTGCACAATGCATATTTCTTAATATGTAGCCTAAAATGTGTTTTAATGTCACTATTGATGAGGATTGTATGATCTTTGAATAATATCAGTCTTTAAATGCAAGATATTTAAAGTGTACCTGATGTATACTTGAAATAGTTCCACTTTAGCAGAATCAAATATACTTTTCAAATATACTTTCAGCACTACTTCCACACAATTGAAGAGCATTAAGTACAAAATTAGTTGTTCCGGTTTAGTATACCAAAAGTACAATTGCAAGGGATTATTATTAAGTGCATAAATATTTAAATGTATTTGTTGTATACTCATCATGAAATAAATGTATTTCACTTATTTTTCACAAGGGAGGTACTCGATAAATCAGTAACACTTTACAATATGGTTCCATTTGTTAATTTTGACATGAACTATCAATGATACTTCTAAAGCTACAATATACTTTTAAAGCGTTTATTAATCTTAATGTTAATTTCAACAATTACTAAAATCAAAAGTTGTATCTGTTAATATTATTTAATGGATTTGAGCTAACAATGATATTTTGTACTTTTATTAACTAACAGCGTTGACTAATGGGACCTTATTGTAGTGTTACCAGTAAATCTTATTCTTGTTATGAAGAACTGGGCTATTAACTCCAGTGTGTGACTCATTATTGAGGATTGCTCCAATAGTGAGCACTAGAGGACAGCAGTGAGACGGCAGTGGGATTGGGATGAGTAAATTTACCCAGGGAGATTTCTGAGGCACTATTGTTCATGAATGTTTAATGTGTTTCTTCTCTCTGTGTTTTAATAATTCTGTTAATTAAATCACACCGAGGAAGTACACTCCTGCCCTGCTGCTGCTGTTGTTTTAACATATGTTTTACATCTATTTGTCATCTTAGCTGCCTGACAATGAACATTTGATATATTTTAGGATTTTCAATGCATGATTAATGATATGAATAATTAATATTTTCCTGTGGATGTTACTATTTTTTTCTCTCTCAAAGATAATTAATTTCCTACTTGGCACTTTCTTTTTCTTGTTTTATTTTAGAAATTTACTTCACGAAACAGCGAAAAGCAGCTAGATCTCCAGCTGTACGTGTGACCTGACTGGACTGACGCCATGTTTTGGACGCTCCTCCTGGCTTTGATCCTTCTGCTGTTGCTCCAGGCACAGCTGCTTGTTTGTCTACGTGAACTCCGAATCTCTCTGACCTCAGTGACTTCAGCGACCCCTTCTGGAACTTCCAATGCCTCGGCTTTGCAACGCCTGCCAGGAGCCATAATCATCGGGGTGCGCAAAGGAGGCACCAGGGCCCTGCTGGAGATGCTCAACCTCCATCCAGATGTGGAAGTAGCCAAGAACGAGATCCACTACTTCAACCTGGATGAAAATTTTCGGAAGGGTCTGGACTGGTATCGCGCCCAGATGCCCGTCACTCTCCCTGGGCAGCTGACGGTGGAAAAGACCCCTGGCTACTTCACAGCACCACTGGCCCCAAAGAGGATACGGGCCACGAATCCAGCTGTGAAACTGCTGCTGATCGTTCGTGACCCTGCAGAGAGACTTGTATCAGACTACACACAAGTCCTCCATAACCGAATTCAGCAAAACAAGCCATACCAACCACTTGAAGAGCTGCTGCTGTCTCAAGGACACATCAATCCCAAATACAAGGCCCTTCAGAGGAGCTTTTACTACCAGCACCTTGCCAGATGGTTGGAGCTTTTTCCCAGAGAGCAGATGCACATTGTGGATGGAGAGGCACTTATTAGGAATCCGTTCCCTGAGCTGCAGAAGGCGGAGACGTTTTTGGAACTTCCACCTCAGATAAAGCCAGACAATTTCTACTTTAACGTCACTAAGGGCTTTTATTGTATGCTGTCTGCGGGACACGACAAGTGCCTGGATGAGTCTAAAGGAAGACCCCATGCTCCGCTTAGCAACGAGGCTTTCCAGAAGCTTTGCCGCTACCTGCGGGTTCCCAATCAAATCTTTTTCAGAATGGTGGGACAGAAGTTTGACTGGTGCTAAAAGACAGATGAAAAATGATTGACAGCTCTTATAGAGACTGAGAATGAATGGGATTTAAACTACTATTGGAAACCCATTTTGTGAAAATGTTCCAATATTGTCAAAGGAATATGGCAGCAACCAGTTTGCAAGAGGGCTAAGCAAAGAGACTAGCGCCAAACATGGTTCTGAACACTGATACACTTACAGTTTGTCTTCTGTGGAAAATAGAATAGATCTGCAGGACTGCTTTAAAAAAAAAACTCTTTAACTCCAAAAGGCTCGGTTCAAACAGACTACTGATATAGAGGAAATGAGATTGAAAAGATTGGAAATGTCCAAGGTACTGAAAACTGAACGTGAAAACTGCAAGAATTGCATATAATAAGAAAAATACAAACTAAAATGTTACTTCCCATGGTACTTGAAGCTTTTAACAAAAATAAGCCTACTGCTTTGTCAGCTGTAATTATTGTGGTCTAATAATTTAATTCATGTTTAATATACTCATTTGTACTTGAATATTTTATTTTCGTTTCTGAATAGAAATGTCTATTTTTTTAATTAATTGGTTCTTTAAATTAATTAGATATTTCATAATGTCATAAGTTAATGCACTACAAAATTCTGTTTTCTATTCAATAAACATATGTACATAAAACATCTCACATCTATTTATCTAAGACACCGACAATATTTGACATTTTCAACACATTGATCAATAACAAAATTGTCATATCTGTGCCTATTTCCGCTAATGTCTATATTACTTTATGCTGTCTTCTTTAAATGTTTCTAATATTTCAGGAGGCCTTTTGACAATTTGTTTATCTGCCTCTGGCTGCTGTTAGGCTACTGGTATACCTACAATCCACATCTCATTTGAGTGTTTATGATTTTAAACATACAGATTTTTAAATGTATTCACTTCTTTACGGGTAAAACATTTAAATGAGAAAAAAACCTTTTAGGAAGTTAACTTGCGTCTACATTTTCTGTCACTATACGCTCTATGGTCAATATAAGATAAACCGCAAATGAAAAATATTTACACACAGCTTTCATATGTTAGAAAAAGAAGTTGCTCGTGGCATGCAACTTACATTAGTACGTCGTAAAGGGAATTTTGCCAGTTGAATCTCTCGTGGTGTAAACAAGCAGGTAAGGACCCTGTAGGTGCCGTTTATACGCATGTCCGGTAGATGGCAGTGTTTCATCTGATATTTATAACTGAGGAGTGAAAAGCAGCAGTCAGGTGTTTTGAACTTAAAATATAACATCTTGTGATATAATGCGTCACACAACGTTAATACAAATTAGAAATAAACTAAGTGTTTTTTTCTGCTTAAAACAGTTTCACATCTACAGAAATGAATAGTTTGAGTGTTTAAAACTATTAAACGCCTAAAGAAATCAATTTTTCTCTAGATTAGGTCGCCCCTCATCGTGGCCATTATTTTGAGATCACATGACCAGCCCACGGAAGCCTTAAGAGGCCATGCATTAGTGAAAGATGCATTTAATGACAAATTGTAACCTAAATTATAAAGATGTGCGTTTAGCATGTTCAGTATATATTATTTATTATATACATAATATATTATTTAGAGAAGTAAATGAAAACAGATGCTTAAAATATTGAACATAATGAAAAGGAGACATCGAGACACCGACTAACATTCAAGATTAAACTGTCATCTGATTTCTACAAGGCACTATAAATACAATACATTATTTTAAATAAATTATATTTTTGCAAAAGGTACCATTAATGTAAAATTCTAAATCATATAGTATATGTAAATGTGTGAATTTTACAGCTTTTTTACCCTAACTTAATAACGACAGATAAATCAAACTATACAAACTCTATTAGCCTACATGAATTATATGTAAAGTTATATTGTTGGTAATTGTCATAATAGCTGTAGATTATAAATTATGCTCAGTTAGCCTGTAGGTTATGAATCATATAACTTATGATGAATAATGAAGGTGTGAAATGTATAATCAAGGAAAAATTAATCAGTTCTGATTAATTATATATTACATTACTTAACTGTTTTTAATTTCTAAAAAAATTTGTTATTTCGAACTATGATTTTGCGAAACTACGAAATTAATAAATTACTGTTGACAATCTGCTTTTAACAGACAAAATCCATAAATGTCCATCCGTCCATCCACCTATCAATCTATCTGTCTGTCTTCTCAGTACTGGCCACTAGATGGCGCTCCGCCCGCTCTCTCTCAGCGCACGCATGCGCAGTCGCTCCCTTTCCCGTCCCAATAACAATCGTTGAAAACGAACAGCAACTCCCGAAGATTGTTACTTCTTCAGGCCTTTATTTTCAACAAATCGAGCCAACCATGACAGAATTACGCCACCGAGGAGCGACGGATAAAGAACTGCAGCATCAGAACTCGGAGGATAAGGTAACGAATAAAGAAAGAGATGTGGAGAGATGCATGTTGTTGTTACGGCTATCATTTGAGCTACATGCTGTCTGTCATACATGAAGAGAGAGAAAAAAATCGATTACAGGTCGTTGTGTTTCTGGATATCGCCAGCAAGTGTCCTGTCACAGCACGAAAGCAGCTTTTAATGCTCTGGTTTGATAAATGATTATATTTTCTAGCGTTCGTGAGTGTGTAATATAGCAGAGTACAGCTAGAGGAGAGTCTGAGCATCATCAGGGGTCTGACGTTCCTTTTAATGCTCTGGTTTGATAAATGATTATATTTTCTAGCGTTCATGAGTGTGTAATATAGCAGAGTACAGCTAGAGGAGAGTCTGAGCATCATCAGGGGTCTGACGTTATTCTTATGTACTGAAGGTTTCCTCAGTGTGTCCCAACAAAACAAAACACTATAAGGCCTTATTGTATTTCTCGCAGTTGCTGAAATAAAGTTAAGTGGCACGAACAATCCCTGCTCTGTTCAGCTCAGGACAGTGAGGTGAAACTCTTAAGGACGAGCTCTGCTTTCAGCAGAGTTTGAGGATTTCTGGAGTGCATGGACTGATCTTCATGCTGTGTAGATATAAAGATAGAAAACATGGAGACTGAGAGAGACTTGGGCGGATGGGTGAGTCAACATTCATGTGTCAAGTGTCTTGACCTGTAGGCATGGGCTTAACCCTTACAGCAAGATCACGGTATATAAACAAGACTCATTTGAATGACTTATTCTACGTTAATAGCAAATATTTGCGGATACTTTACAAATTCGTGTTCTTTTGTATTTATCCACATTTTTGGGGGGATATAGAGAGGCAGCTTTTATCAGTAGGATGTGATAATGTTATTGAAAGGACTACAGTAAAGAATTCTTGGGTAAACTGTCTTACGTGCAGCCTTTATCTGTAAACATACATGGTCAATAGTTTCTGAATATGTTCTTTGGTCATTCGGTTTTGGCGGTTCACCATATGACTTCCTTCTGCATGCTATGTTGTATTTTTGTTACGAATTTATTTCAAAAGAAGAAACTACAGCCTCTTCTATCTGTAGTGCTGTCAAAATGCTGGAGTGATGAAAGAATAACCCAAGCATGTGTAAGTGTAGCTATGCTTGCTAGTGTAATGACAGTGTCCACATTATGCTAAATAGATTAATTTTTCATATGAAACACAAAGACCTAATACTTGATCATGCAAATGAAAAACCTTGTGCTGCCTTCATTCGCACATCAGCGCTCAGGCAAATGAACTGAATGTGGTCATGTTCTGACTCTAACCATATTTTTTTTGTCTAGTGTCTGTATATTTGGTATTTAAAGTCAGAATGAAAGTTTGCAACTCATTTTGCTTCTATAATCTGACATATTTCAGAGCAAAATATAATTTTGAGTATAGGTTTTGTTTTTGTGCATTGCAAATTGATTGAATCATTCAAACAAGGCATTACATATCAGATTTTTTATTTCCTGCTTCTCAGATTTTTCTTCTGAAACCCCCCCCCCCCAACAACAATAGTATCATATCATGTCAGATTTTCTTTCTTTAAAGAAGTACAGTCATATTTGATTCATGTTAAAGGGATATTTTCTCAAAAATGAAAATTCTGTCATCATTTACTCACCTCATGTTATTCCAAACCTGTATGTTCACCAAACAGTGGAGTTGTAACGCATCTCCCAAGATATTATTATTTGTCTTGCTGCAAGAGTTTAAGAATTTTAAGAATTCATTCAAGAGGCGAGAGAGGCCTGCTGAGTTTATTACATTAGACTCAACTATGCCATTGTAATGAAATGGAGAAAGACATCGTGTCCCTGTTGAGTTTAGGATGAAGTACACTGCATGGCCAAAAGTATGTGGACACCTCACCCATATGTGCTTGTTTTCAAAACCATTGGTGTTAATATTTAATTTTTTGCTATAACAGCTTCCCTCTTGTCAGTTGTTGTTTCAGTCCATCTCAAAGGCATTCAAGTCTGTTCTTCGTGCAGGCTAGTCAAATTCTTTCACATTTACGTTTGCACATACTTTTATCTAACGTGACTTTTAAATGAGAAATACAACAATTGATTCATCACCAGAGAGAGGCAATAACACAATACAAAGTTTCAAACATTGTCCAGAATTGTAGAAGCTACAAGAAGGAGGGATATAGCAGGATGCAGTTAAGTGATCACAGAAGAGATGAGTTTTGAATATTGTCAGGGTCCCGTCTGTCCAGATAGGGTTAGGGTTAGGTCAGGGGTGTCCAAACATGGTCCTGGAGGGCCGCTGTCCTGCAGAGTTTAGCTCCAACTTGCCTTAACACACCTGCCTGGAAGTTTTTAGTATGACTAGTAAGACCTTGATTAGCTGGTTCGGGTGTGTTTAATTGGAGTTGGAGCTAAACCAAAGCCACTGGAAGGCAAGCCTGCAACCTTTAGCCTAAAAAAAAAAGCAAAATGGCTAATGCTATTGCTAACATTCCAACCTTGACGTCATTGAATTTCAAACAGAGTTGTGCAACAGTCAATTGCTGTTTACAGATACTATAGAAATGAATAAGTGCCATAAACTGAATCCTACCTCTTGCAGAAAGTCCAAGATTTCTCTATATTCCAACTCTGTTGGTGGTACGCAGGGAAGGAGACCAGAGGCCGTTTTTTTTAATGGATGTCAGAGGAGAAGAGGCTTCACTACGCTGAATAAACAGTTTTATTGAGGTAACAGCTTATAATTTAATAAATCGACAGCCTATCGGCTAATCTTGTCATTAAAGGAGTAGTTCACTTTCAGAATGACAGTCACCCTCCACTTGTTCCAAACCTGTATGAGTTTTTTTCATCTGTTGAACACAGAAGAAGATATTTTGAAAAATATTGGTATCCGAATAGTTGATGGGCACCATTGACTTCCATAGTATTTTTTTTCCTACTATGGAAGTCAATGGTGCCCATCAACTGTTCGGATACTAACATTTTTCAAAATATATTATTTTGTGTTCAACAGAAAAAGGAAACTCGGTACAGGTTTGGAACAAGTGGAGGGTGAGTAAATGATGACAAAATTTTCATTCTGGAAGTGAACTACTCCTTTAAACAATGGTTTTGGATTGAACTATTTTTAGAGTTTACACCGAAAAAAAATTCAATTTTATAAGAGAAATCGTGGACTTTTTGTGACAGGTAGGATTTAGTTTATGGCACTTCTCATTCATTCCTATAGTATCCATAAACAGCGACTGACTGTCACACAACTCTGTTTGAAATTCAGTGACGTCAAGGCTGTAATGTGATTGGTTATCAAGGCACACATGATCCAAGTTGATTTTTATGCTTTTTACAATGGTAAGTAATATAGACCCTCATATCTCCCAATAATAAGACAATCTCTGGCTAAACTTTGCAGGACAATGGCCCTCTAGGCGCTGGATTGGACACCCCTGGGTTAGGTAAATTCTTGTACCGGATAAGGTTAGGTAAATTACAGCTGACCAAATAATTTTACTGGTGGCATACTATGACACTGGCACGTTGAAAGTCACTGAGCTCCTTAGTACAGCCCATTCTACTGTAAATGTTTGTCTAGGGAGGTTGTGTGGCTGTATGCCTGATTTGACGCACCTGTTAGACTAAAATGTAGCTGAAATTAGAAGGGGGATATACAGGTGTTATATGTGTACAGAAGTTAAACTGCATTTTTACTGACAAACGGCAGACCAGAAGTCGTTAATTTTCAAATAACAGTGTGGGAGCTGTGTGGAGTTCAGATTTCATTAAAAAAAAAAGTAAATTGAGACAGTATGTGACAGCCAGAACAAATGTGGTGTATTCTAATAAAACCTCTGAAATTCATAAAGAACAAAGTGATAATTAGGAATATTTTTCCATGCACTAAAATGTTATTCTTTAAACACACTTTCTGTAAATTGGGTGGCTATGAAAAATTATTTGTGAAATAGTTATTTTATAATAAAATAATTATTTATGTTGACTATCGCTAGAAAACCTCTTATGTTTTTATTTCAGATGTATTGGCAGTCAGTTCTATGTGGATATACAGTGTTGGGAAGGTTACTTTGGAAATGTACAAGTTACCCTATTTTAAATGTAACAAGTAGTGTAACTATTTCAATTACTTTATTAAAGTAATGTAACGGATTACAGATTGAGGTCTCTGCAGAGCAAAAGTGGGCGTTTCTGAATTTGTGGGTGTTTTCAAACTGCAGGGTGTTTCTCAAGCATGCAATCAAAATGATCCCCCTTACCTAACCCCACCCCTAAACCTACCGTCACTATGACGTCAGCCAATCAGGAAACATGGTCTAAAAACGCCCCGATCTGGTAACTCCCTATTACTTTCCTGCAGAGACCTATACTTGAGTGCCACTGTGCTCAACAAGGCAGCCCAAACGATGTAACAGGCAACGTGATGTCTGCCCTCCCACCCCTTAAGAAAAGCACGCTACTCCAGTAGAGTTGTGACGGTGAGGTAGTTCATTTAGAGTTTTCCCTCTTTTCCTCACATTTAAATAGCTTGTAAATGCCTGTGCGCATTTTACTTTAATTTCCGAACTAGCGTCAATTCGGCATCAATTGATTGAATTGACAAAAACAAAACAGTACGACAAACTCACTTATATTAAACATAGAATGTTTAAATTATTAACAAAATGCCTTCCAAAGTCTTAAATATTTTTAAAGCAGCCGCTTTTGTATTTCGTTTCGAAACAATCTTTTGCCAACTTCTTGTCTTTCTAACCTCACTCGTCAGCTCGACTCACTCACATGATAGGCCTAAATGAAATCCGACTCCTGCCGCTGATCTGAGATGCGACTGTTGTTCGGCACACTGCATTGTTTAAAGTAAAAGAAAAGATCATACTTTATGATGTTAGTTTTAATAAATAAAAAAATGTAAAAATCAAAGAAATTTCTCCTGCATTTCTTTCTTTTTGCTGTATCGAAAATAGCGAACCGTGACACCGCTGTGTCATATCAAACCGAACGGTGAATTTTGTGAAAGTCAATACAATTTGGGAAAGAAATCAATCAAATGTTAACATTTTCAAAAGTAACTGTAATTTAATTTTAAAAAATTCTCAGTGACTGAATCAGACTACAGTTACATTTATTTTGTAATTGAATTACATAACTCCGTTACATGTAACTAGTTACTCCCAAAAACTGTGTTTATATTCATGCATTCATCATTCATTTACATGACCATTTTAAAAGTTCACTGCAACTGCCACTAGGGGCGAAACGTATACGAATCGAATACGAATGTTGGAAATTTCGTACAAATTTGATATGTTTTCCCTGCCTGAACACCAAATACCGTCAGACTTTGTTTTTAATGAATGTGACATTTAACACACACTTACATCAGTCATCTCTTTTGTAGACTGTCATTGATGTTATGTTTGTCGGGGAATTCCACGTTTCCAGATGGCTAACGCTGCCGTCCGCCAATTTTGTCAGAAGTGTTGCTCATACTCTGAGACGAGTGTGGGTCAAACCTGGCAGGAAGACTGAAAATGTCTTTCTTAGGAAGAGTGGGATGTCCTCAGTTCCTGATGATCTATTTGCGGTCGGCGGAGCATTTGAGAGATGGGGGAGGAAGTGGGAGGTGTGAGGGAGGGTATTTTTATCTCTGGCATCTTGAATATCAGGATGTAGTCCGTCTCCATGGAAACCCTGGATCTTTCCGTAGCTCTTACTGTCAGATGAGTGTCAGCCGTAAATATACGTTGGCTTGAGGGTGCTCTTCGTAATCAGATCCAAATTATTTATGTCAGATGGATAGAAAGAGGTTTCTGGAACAATCGTAACAGCTCGACCAACTGGTGCAGCACCATCTGATGATGACAGCCTGTTGCTATGGGGATGAAGAAGGCAGGATGTTTGTAATTGTGCAACAGGCTACTTAGACACACAGGCCTGTTAGATACAGATGGCTGCATTTATTTGCTCGGAAATACTGTACAAACAGAAATATTGTGAAATATGAATGTAATTTAAAGAAGTGCTTTCTATTTTAATGTTTTAATGTGTAATTTATTCCTGTGAAGGCAAAGCAAAATTTTCAGCATCATTACTAGAGCCCGACCGATAGATCGTTTAGCCGATATTATCGGCCGATATGAGCCTGTCTCGGCGAATATGCCACCGTTATGAACATTTTTTTACAGAACATATAACGCAGATTAGATGCTTCTGAATGATGTAATTACTTAGTTTGTCCAGCAGAGCGCGGCTCCATTCTTTGCTACTGGCAACCCAGGTCAGTGTAGTGTAGAGATGTGCGGATGAGCTCAAACTTCACCCGCTGCTTCAAATTATCAGACCGCCACACACCCGCACCTATATTTGATCGTCACATTACAATGATCAAATGATTTTCAACGGTCACTTTGTCACGTCCTGTTGCGGCACAGACACGGTGTCAGCATAGTCAGTAACGTAGCAGATTGAAAAGTTAGTATCTTTCTGCAGTCCAATAGACGGCAGTGCGGTGGTGGCTTGAGTCTGCTGAATGGTAATTTAACGCTACGTTGTCACCTAGTTGTCACCTAGTTACATTTTATATAATAAAGTTTATTGTTAAATTGTTAAATACCCTGCCTCCACTACATAGGCCTATGTTTGTCACATCATTATAAGTGTTTGATCACCATATTTGAGCTATCATTGCAAAAAATGTGTTTATGTATATATATTCTGTTTATGTAGGCCAGGGATCCTCAAATCTGGCCCACGAGATCCACTTTCCTGCAGAGTTTAGCTCTAACCCTAATCAAACACACCTGTGCATGCTAATCAATGTCTTCAGGATCATTAGAAAATCACAGGTAGGTGAGTTTGATCAGAGTTGGAGCTAAACTCTGCAGCGCATTGGCCCTCCAGGGCAAGATTTGAGGAACCCTGATGTAGGCTATATACTGTATTCTATATACAGTACCAGTCAAAAGTTTGGACACACGAATGGGAAGTGTGTCCAAACTTTTGACTATACTGTACTATAATATAGCCTACACATAAAGAATATCGACTGATATATCGGTATCTGTCTTTTTTTACTCCCTAATATTGGTATCGGCATCGACCCCCAAAAAAAACAAATCGGTCAGGCTCTAATCATTACTCAAATGTTTAGTGTCACATGATCATTCGGAAATCATTCTAATATGTTGATTTGGTGCTCAAAAACGTTTCTTATTATTATCAACGGTGAAAACCGTTCTGCTGCTTCATATTTTCTGTTGAAATCCTGATACATACATTTTTTTTTTTGCATCCTTGCTGAAAATACGTATTAATTTCTTATTTAAAAAAAATTCTTACCATTCCCAGGGTTGGGTTTCGTAAAAATTTTATCAATTCTGATTTCGATTCTGCTTATCGATTCTTATCGATTCCCGGTTTCAGTTTCAATGTGGTTAAAAAAAATTGAAGTCAAACATTTAGATATCAAACATATTTATTCTGTGTCTCTTTTTGCTAAACATTTATTTGATGAACAAAAATCAGCCAGCTACATAAAAACTGGACTCTAGTAAGAGCTGTTTGTGTTAAAAATAGAGCTGCACGATTCTGGATACATTTTTTTTTTTTAATGGAGGTTGTGGTTCTCTCACAATTCTGAAGAAAAAATATTAGACGACTAAACAATCTCATGGAATTTATGAATGAATGATTCAGTGACTCTTTCATTACTGGATGAATCCGTGTTTTTGAATTAATCTCTTGAATGAATGATTCAAAGACAAATACATTTTTAACAGCCCCATTTCGCCACCTAAAAAAAGATGTGCACACAGCAATCGAAATTTAAATTTTACAACAAGTATCCAATTCCTGACCTTTAGCATCTAGAATAGGAATTGATTTTCGATTCCCAACCCTACTGATCCCAAACTGTAAAACAGTAGGTAACATAGTATTCAGAATTCTTTGCAAATGAACAAATGTCTATTTTGATAGATTAATTCATCTCTTTTGTATTTATTTTTCTCTCCAAATGTCTCCAGGGCTCTGAAACAGAGGGCAAGGAGAGAGATGGAGCCTCGGACAATGAGACCAAGTCAGACTCTGGGGTTCCTGAGGTTCCCGTTTCTGCCGATGACACACCAGAGGTTCTCAACAAAGCGCTCTCTGGCCTTTCCTCACGGTAAACATCTTTAAATCTGCGATTAAAATTACTCTTTAGTAAAGTAGAACACTCTTGCATGTGACATGAGATGAAAAGTGTATATAAAGAGTCCAGAGCAGATTATTGGCATGTTGCTGTGAACAACAGATGATTCATTCAATAAAAAGGCCACCGGAGCTTTTAATCCTCGCATTAGGAAGATTATATTTCCACCCAATATGCTTTGCGTTAATGTGTTTGTCTCTCCTGCAGATGGAAGAACTGGTGGGTGAGGGGCATCCTCACGTTGGCTATGATCTCCTTCTTCTTTATCATTATTTATCTCGGTCCGATGGTGCTGATGATGATTGTGAGTATTTTCTCTTCTTGTTGTTGTAAACACCAACAGAAGACTTTTTCACTTAAGAATCTACTAGATATTGTCTCTTTGTTGCTTTTACACGTGACAGATGAGTACCGATGTTGTTTATCCTGTCAACATTATCAAACATTATTACTCAGCTGAGCTGCTGAATTGGTTATGTTCGAGCAGGGCCGCAGATATATTCATGAGACGTCATTGTAGCCTCTGAATAATCAGTGTCCACTTTGTTCCATAATCTGGCTTTTTCAGATATTATAGCCTACAATTATTTGCATGTTACAAAAAATTACTGCTAACGATATTAAGAATCTATACTATTATGTATAAAAAATATGCACTACACACTCAATAGTTTTTCAGTCTTATGTTGTGATGCTGAAGTGAATTCAGGATTCACAACATTTTAATCAATAAAATATGGAAATATATAGAATTGTATAGAAATGTTGTCATGCCAACTAACTGGAATAAGTTTAAGTCCTAAATTTACTCAAACTAAAACTGAAATAAAAATATTTTAAAGCTAAATAGAAATTCACAAATACACCTAACAAAATTACAAAAACTAACTAAAATGAAACTATTATTAAATACAATAATAATATATAAATAATACTAAAGTTCTGCTCTAATTTTACAACTATTTTAGCACTAGTTGGCGTTACATAATCTAAAATCCCAAAATAAGTGGAAGAGTGTCCAAACTTAATTCAAATTCAAATTTCCATAATTGTGATTCATTTTTAATATTGTCTGATAACTGATGTGGTCCTGCTATATCATGACATCTAAGACATTTAAAGATTGAATAAGCTTTATTGACTGCCAGTTAGAGCAGCAAAAACACAGGATGGAATCTTGCTTTAAAAAACAGCTAGAAATAGCACTTCAGAGTGGAACTAGTTGGCTGCCTGTTGTTTTTTTTTTATTGTTGTCCTCTGTGTGTCTTCCACAGGTGCTGTGTGTTCAGATCAAGTGCTTCCATGAGATCATCACAATTGGTTACAGCGTGTATCACTCTTACCACCTGCCCTGGTTCAGAACACTAAGCTGGTGAGACCCACGACACGCACCTGCCACCTTCATTTTCACGCTTCATTGTCTCTCCCTCTCTCCCTTTTCTCATTATCTGTCACCCCAGATCTCTCTCTGTCTCTCTCTCCCACTGTGCACTGCCTGTAATTAGAGGGCATCATCATCATCACTTTCATCTTATCATAATATGGCTGTCTTGATGTCTTACAAGTTCTTTCATTTTCTGTGTAAAAATGAGTAAATGCTGCACTTGTTTATTCATCCAGCTATGCATGCTATCACCAGCTGTATAGAGGTATGGAAATTCACTCTGGTTTAGACCACATTCAAACTGTAGTGTAGTTTGTTTCAAATGTGAAAGAAAAGATTCACCACGTTTAAGTAATGTGAAAATCCCACTGAATACTATTTAAAGGTTTAGAATTCAGTGTTGAGTTAAAGGGATAGTTCACCCAAAAATGAAAATTCTGTCATTAATTAACTCTCATGTCGTTCCAAACCCAGAAAGACCTTTGTTCATCTTCAGAACACAAATTAAGATATTTTTGATGAAATATAAGAGAAGAATACAAGAAATTGTTGAATAAAGTTATTTTAGTTTTCTTCGTGCACAAAAAGCATTCCCGTGGTTTCATAAATTAAAGTTGAACCACTGATGTCACATGGACTATTATAACGATGTCCTTGCTACCTTTCTGGGTCTTGAACGTGGTAGTTGCGTTGCTGACTATGCAGGGTCAGAAAGCTCTCGGATTTCATCAAAAATATCTTAATTTGTGTTCTTACGGGTTTGGAACAACATGGGAAAATTAGCAAAAATCAGGTCTCTTGATGCCAAATTTCAGTATGTAGAAGCTCTGGAGTAGTAATCTGAGATCCTTTTTTAAATACAAGGTTTTTGAGTATCTCTTATGAAGAAATGCCATATTTTCATGTCCAAAATAAAAAAAGAGAAAGAACTATGAATCGATTTTATGAAGAAAATTAGCTTATATTTAAGTTGGAGCTTAACTTTGCATGAGAGTTGATCTCCAGGAACAGGATTGGGCACCCCTCATATATAGTTATATATAAAAATCCTAAAAAAAAAAAGTTTCTTTAATGCAAAACATCTTCATTATTTTTCTTTTGTGCAAAGTATGACATTTCTTGATTTGCCATGTTTCAACTGGTGAACTTTTCTTTGAACTTGTTTTTAGGTTTTTATAAATTAGATATCTGGCAAATCAGGTATAAGTAGAACCATTTCTCTACATTAGTCCTTCTGTGTAGCCCAACATGCCGTTCTTCCATGTGGCCATAATCTTAGTGAGCTGCTGCTCAGCTACAGTCTGACCATTTCCTACATTTCCTATTGCTAACAAATTGGCCCATTATAATTACTTTGTCGACAGTTAGAAACACTTTGATTAATGAATAGATGTGAAAGGACTTTGTCACAATAATGTCTGACTGCCAGTTTTAACGGTTTTTGTCAGGTACTTCCTGTTGTGTGTGAACTACTTCTTCTATGGTGAAACGGTGACAGATTATTTCTTCACGCTGGTGCAGAGGGAGGAGCCTCTACGCATCCTCAGCAAATACCACCGCTTCATTTCCTTTGCCCTGTACCTCACAGGTTAGAACCTTGTCTTTCCTACATGCATGCCACTTTATTTGCCATTGATGTTTCTAGCTTTAAAGCCTTTGGGAAGTAATAGTTCTCACAGTTACTGCTGAGTCCAACAACTCCTACTTTAACACACAGAATGCTGAAAGCAAAATCGGATGCAGTCTTCAAAATGTGATTTATGTTAACAGTTGAAATGCAGACAGAATGATTTTAGTTTTTTGGGGTGTTGGTTTTTCATAAGCGTAAAGTTAATGTCATCCAGGATGTGGTTAGGCTCTCTGCCTGTCTAAGCACCCCTCGCTCATTTTCTCTTTCAAAAAGATGCAAAACAGCAGATTTCTTTAGAAGCTAAATGAGAAGCAACAAGTCATAATGTTTTTTTCTTCTTGTTTTAAAAAAATATAAATTAACATTTTATCACAACAACAATTCAAACAGGCAATTAAACAATGCTCATGGAAGCAAGAAAAAAGAAGTACAAAGAAAATAATTTTTTTTTTATGATTAATATATTATGACACACCAAACCACAATATGTAACAAAATAGGCAGTTAGGTCAAAATTTGGGACCTGAACGTGAACACGATAAGAAGAGCACAATAAGTATCAACTAAAATGATAGTTATCAATTAAAATGAAATAAAAATTGATATCATGTCTTGTCATTTATATATGGTTCAGAAGGAAGACATACAGACAAAGTTCCTTGCTATATTAGGAGTACTTAATCGATTTGTATTTGTAACAATTATTCTGATATTTCATAAATTTTTTTGTGTAGCACGGCTAGAGTGTATACATTACAATTATGACTGAGCTGGAATGGAAACACGTCTATTTAAAATATATATCAGTGTTCTGTTTTTATAAAGAGCAACAACAGTGTTTATTGGTGTAAAGTTAAACAAGATCATCAGTTATAAACAATATCATCAGTTCATCATGTGTTGTGAGTTTGTTAGGCAGACTGTTAAAAAAATGTATAAACCTTCCATGTCCTGCAGATTATGTAGTTTATGTGTGTGTGTGTGTGTCTTTTCAATGTGCTTGGTTTGGCTTGGACAGGTTTTCTTGGCCACTGGCTGGTTCCTGACAAACAGGACATAATTAGTGACAGTGTGACTGGCCTAAAATAGTCCCATAGACATGTGGGGATGGCATTGGTGAAACTGTCTGTTTTACCAGATGTGTGTGTGTGTGTGTGTGTGTGTTTTCCAGGGTTCTGCATGTTTGTTCTGAGCCTGGTGAAAAAACACTATCGCCTGCAGTTCTACATGGTGAGTGTGTTTAGTCCATAGAACAAGTTTAGTGTAATTTGAGAGTGTTTTTTGTACACACACACTCACATACCCTGTGTTTGACATTCTACAAACACACATGCATTTGTCATGTTTTCTAGCACTTGGACACAGACCCTACACTTTTCCGTATCATGGCACTGTCTTTTGTCCCAGATTTGAAGTGAATAGAGTTATTCATTCCGTCTTTCTCTCTCCCCAGTTCGGCTGGACTCATGTGACCTTGCTGATTGTGGTGACTCAGTCCCACTTAATCATTCATAACCTGTTTGAGGGGATGATCTGGTAAGATGATGCCTCCTGTGTACCACTATCAAAACCCATATGACATTTACACATTTCAATTTTTCAATGCAGTGTCATTCCACAATATTAGATACAGTACAGTTGGTTTTCTGTTGCAGGTGATCTGTTTGCATAAGATAATCTGTTTCTGTGTGCGCAGGTTTATTGTGCCCATCTCCTGTGTTATCTGTAATGACATCATGGCTTACATGTTTGGCTTCTTTTTCGGTCGCACCCCTCTCATCAAGGTTTGTGTTTTTAACACCCCAGTTAAATAATATTTTAAAAATCACATATTACATGTGAAATATAATAAAATGGTGGTACAGTATAATATTTACACTACTATTCAGAAGTTTGATGGAATTGGATGTTTTAATGTTTTTGAAAGAAGTCTTTTATGCTCACCAAGGCTGCATTTATTTGATCAAAAATACAGTAATATTGTAAAATATTATTATGATTTAAAATAATTGTTTTCGGTTTTAAAATATTTAAAAATGTAATCAATTCCTGATGTCAAAGCTTTATTTTCAGCCTTTACTCCAGGCTTCAGTGTCGCACCCCTCTCATCAAGGTTTGTGTTTTTAACACCCCAGTTAAATAATATTTTAAAAATCACATATTACATGTGAAATATAATAAAATGGTGGTACAGTATAATATTTACACTACTATTCAGAAGTTTGATGGAATTGGATGTTTTAATGTTTTTGAAAGAAGTCTTTTATGCTCACCAAGGCTGCATTTATTTGATCAAAAATACAGTAATATTGTAAAATATTATTATGATTTAAAATAATTGTTTTCAGTTTTAAAATATTTAAAAATGTAATCAATTCCTGATGTCAAAGCTTTATTTTCAGCCTTTACTCCAGGCTTCAGTGTCACGTGAGCTTTCAGAAATGATTCCAACTTGCTAATTTGGTACAAAAATCAGCATTTCTGAATTTTTTGAAACAATTGTGTTGCTTAATGCTGTGTTTTTGTGGAAACTGTGATACTTTTTTTCACAAGCTTCTTTTATGCTAGTAAAATAAGAGGTTTTATTTGAAATAGATTTCTCACTTTTGATTAATTCAATGCATCATTGCCTAAATAAAAGTACTTTTTTAATCACTTTAATTTTTAGTTATCCCAACTTTTGAACAGTAGTGTGGTAAAGTTGCTTACTCGTAATTTTAGCTATTGTTTTTAATCAACTGGTGTTTTATTGGATGTTCTGTTTAATGTCCTAGTAGGTGTATTTATCACAAACTATAAACTATCCGCTAATGTTTGACAATCAGAGAGCATCTAAATACTTAAGTTTAATCTGTGTATCTGCTGTTTTATGATGTAAAAATTAACTAATTAATTATCTTCTTTTTGTAAAATATTTTGCTTGAAATGTGTGCTTGTGCTATCGCTCTTTAAAATAAAAAGCAGTTGCTTTTTAATGTTTCTGTCTAATGCAGCAACATTCATACTTTTTTGAGTGTGGCTTAACTAACTACTTTCTGGCTTCTGTGTAATGTTGTGTATTTTTAGTACAGTTCTCTTAATGCTGAATTTTCTCTGCAGTTGTCTCCTAAGAAGACGTGGGAGGGGTTTATCGGTGGCTTCTTCGCCACTGTTGTTTTTGGAATCCTAGTGAGTAGTAATAACCCACTTCCTGTTCTTCGTCTGGTCTTTGCTGAATGTTTTTATATAGATTTGGGAACTTTGGTGACGTAAGAATAAGAATTGCCTTGATTGACACCTTGGAAGGGGCTGATTAGTTCTCCTGTCCTGTGTTTTACACTCTGTCTCTGATGTCCATCACTGCAGGACTTTGCAAACACCATTCCAGGTCATGGAGGAATCATGGATCGTTTCGACTGTCAGTACCTTATGGCCACATTTGTAAATGTTTACATTGCCAGCTTTATAAGGTAAGACTGTTATTAATGAATTTCTGATACAGTTATGTGTGGGTTGTAATTGACTTCTGATCAGAGTTGTAACATACATATAACCATTCAAACGTTTGGGGGTGGTTTTATATATATATATATATATATATATATATATATATATATATACGTGGAGGCCAAGAACCACCCAACACGAACCGGATCCTTTAATAAATAATCCTTTAATAACAAAATCCTTTTAATGCACGGTAAGCCGTTGATTATCCTGCTTATTCCATGGTCATTTGCCAAGTTAAAACTAGTATTGCTCTTTGCGGCGCAATATTTGACCTGAAGGGTAAAAATTACAGTTATTTTTGTCAGTTAGCTCTAGCATTCTGCCTGCTTCAAATCAGACAGAGATGAAATAGTGCGGTAAGATCACATTTATTTGAATGAATTATAGCATTTATTTCAATTAGGGATGCACCGAAATGAAAATTCTGGTCCGAAACCGAAAATTCTGGATGCACTTGGCCGAAAAAACAAAACCAAAAATGCTTTGTATTGATTTTTTATTATTTTATTACATAATATAAAGTAATTTTGTAAGACTTTTTTCAATTTAACTCAATTTTAATGATACTGAATTTAAAAAACACAAGTCAATAAAATAACCACACTTTTAGTCTACTGAAAGTAACACAATAAAACTGGACTACTTTAGTTAACATGAACTAAGAATAAACAATAGTTCATCAGCATTTATTAATCTTAGTTAATGTTAATTTCAACATTTACTAATGCATTATTAAAATCAACAGTTGTGCTTGTTAACAGTTAATGCACTCTGAATTAACATGAACTAACAGTGAACAACTGTATTCTGATTAACTAAGATTAAGAAAGATTAATAAATACTGTAATAAATGTATTGCTCATTGTTCGTTCATGTTAGTTAATACATTAACATTAACTAATGGAACCTTATGCGTGCTGCATGGGTTGAATGCATATGATTTTTAATTTGTAACTACTATTATTACTGGAATGAAACAGAGTCCAAACATTCTGGACTTATCTTATATAGCTTATATAACATTATATAATCGATTAATGTCAAAGGCATCCTGGCCTATAATTATCATTAAATCAGCCTATTATATCAGCATTCCACATGTGTCTGTTTGTATTTGTATTTATTTTATGCAATGTTTTATTTATTTTTTTATATTGATTTATTTGGTATAGTTTAATCTACCATTATGTGGTTTATTTTGTGAGAATGACTGAGCGACTGTACATTGTCCCATACATATTTTATTGTTTTAATTGTTACTGTTCTATCAACCTAGTGCCTTGTTAGGTTATTTTTTGTTATTGTCAAAGACTAATATAATCACAATGATAATCAAAGTAATATTGTGAGTGTGTCTAGAGCATAAAACATTGTGCTTTGATATTTCCTCTCGTTTAGAGGGCCAAACCCCTCTAAAGTCATCCAGCAGCTTCTTGCTTTGAGACTAGACCAACAGCTCCACATCTTTAACTCGCTCAAGGCTCATCTGACAGAGAAAGGCCTGCTCCCTGCCCTGGAAGAAGCAGCCTAGCTTTTCGGACCACCCCACCGGAGTAGGCTGTGGATAGAGGGAGTAGAGAGAGGGCAACGGAAGCAGATCCAGGCATGTATGGAAGTGGGAGATGAGATGAGGAACATAAGAAGGGAAACAACGGAAAACTGAACCACGATCTTGGGTCATTCCATTTTCAGTGTGTTTGCGAGAAAGAGTGTGTGTGTTCATTCAAATCAGTGTTTTTGCTTTTTTTATTTTTTGTGAATGTTTTATGATTATCTCTTACACCACAAAAGAATATTCTATGTATTAAGATGACGTTGTTGTTACAGTTCTTTGTGAGTTGAGCTGTACAATTCCACTTGTGTACAAATGTTCTGTACCTATAGATCGTCTGAATATTTTATAGTGTTTATTATGTTTTATTTTGTTTTAATGCACTGCTCATCACACTGTCATTTCAACCTCAGGCTAGTCTTTGTTTTTGTTTTTTTGCTAACAGGTGTTTCCATACGCCATCATAGTCTCAAAAAAGATTGTATTTTCACTGCAGAGTGCCGTAATTCATATTTGTTTTCATGGTCTTGGGTTTTGATGTTTTTGTAATGTTATATTTAAGAGAATTGTGGTCATTGATATCAAATGTGCGCTTCAGCCCAGTCGGTGGTGACTGTTACAGTTCAGCTGTGAGACTGTATGTTTACTGTACTTCCTGAAGTTAAGGAGAAGATTCAGATGTCAGTATTCAGTGTTTGAGAGGAAGTTTAGTCCACATCAGACTAGAATTACGTGGCTTTCATGTTTGTTACAAAGAAACGGTCCCTGTAAGCCAAACAAATAGGAAGTAACTTTAATTAGAATTACATTGTCAATAGTTAATAATAATTAGTTGTTACTCAGCACTGGAAAAGACCATTTGGAGATGTTAACAAACATTTCGCACTGAATGTTTAAAGGGATAGTTCACCCAAAAATGAAAATTTGATGTTTATCTGCTTACCCCCAGGGCATCCAAGATGTAGGTGACTTTGTTTCTTCAGTAGAACACAAACGAAGATTTTTAACTCAAAAAACTGTTGCAGTCTGTCAGTCATATAATGGCAGTCAATGGGCTCCACGGCTTTGAGAGTAAAAAAAACA